ACCCTCTCACTGGCCAGAAGCTTCTGAAAGAAAGCTAAAAATTTTCCAAAACTGCCATGAAAAGAGGTATTGTTTAGATTTTAACGCCAAAATGTCAATGGTACTTGATACCTGTGGATGCATCATTAGTATTATTAATATAGTCATTTTAACATTGTGTTTGTTCCCAGTGGTACTTATTATGTTTATCTGTTATTTTTATTACATAAAAATAGATGTTCTCAATTTAATTTGTGAATTTCAAATTGTATTGTAATCTTCTTATGTCCTAAATCATTGTTTTCAATAAATACTTGATGCGGGTATCATGCAACAACTGGGATTGCATGATGTACCGTAATAAGTCAACTCAAGATCCTATGGAAAGCTTCCATTACTCATGTAAACCTTTCTTTGCAAACTCTTGTAAAGCTTGCTTTTTTTATGGTTAGCTAGTACGGGAAGGCATTACCAGTTGATCCATGGTACATCGCTGGTATTCCCCATAATTTTACCTGTACCTGTAATTTTAATACATTGTCTTAGTTTCTTGGATCTCTTTCAAGATATATGCTTTCTTAAGAACTTCACAGAAATATTCTATATAGTATTTTAAGTGCGTAGACAACACTGGTACTTTTAGCATTGACAGTCGGAGTGGCTGAGGGTGAAAGCCAGGATGATGAAGGTAACAAAACTGGCTTTTGACGACTCACCACTCTTTATTTTCACAAATATCAAATAATCTTGGAAGATATTTATCCAATCATAGTTAAATACGATAAATTTTATGCACACGACTTTTAAAAGTACCACTTAAGAATTTTAGACAGGACAACATAAAGCGACGCAGAGTTGTTTGCGTGACAGAAGTCAGAGAAAGGAGTGACGTATTTGCATGCGAGCAGTATTTATACTAAGTGGGTGCATAAAGTATAGCCAAGCTGTGATTGGATAATTTTAGGTTGTTAAGTAACGTGGAAAGATCACGAATTTGAGAAAACGGATAAATATAAAGGTGTGAACACCAAATTTAGAATAGTTAATTTTCATGTTGCCAATTATTTCTTACGTAAGATCGCATGATTAATTCGAATGACGCAGTTTAAGTTTTCAGAGCTATTTTTATGACAAGCGATGAAGTTTCCAAATGAAATAAAAAATAAAAGAGGTTGTAGTGAATTAAATATAGAAGTTTGCTTTCAGATTCTTTATCTTAGATATATACACTCTTTTTTTTAATTTTGAAATAACACCTTTCACCGATAAGAACAAATATACTTTTTTACACGAACTTTTTGTTCTAGCACGAATATCCCCCAAATGTGTTTTAATTCTGATTTTGAGAGCGTGATCAGAAGTCGGTCAATTTATGCCCACACGTAATCATGTGTTAGTGACTTGGTCTGCGTCATCAAAGATTTCATGCCTTGTTTACTTTGTATTCGGGTTCGGGGAACACCCGGATTTAATTATCACTTTTTTATCTCGTTGTACTTCAACTTGAACACAGCATTTCGCTATTCAGTGTTAAAATTCGTAGGATGCAATAAATAATTTCAATAAAAATCTAAATGTTGATGTTCAACTTAAAAGTTTTTTACCTCCTTGTACGAAGTAAAGGATGTATTGTAATCACGACAAGTTCCAGGTATCATATTTCAAGGAAAATATCCATTTTGACCGCTATCGAATGCGATTTATTGATGTTACTGCGTGACATCTGTACTTAAGAACAGAATAAAGGACTCTTTTCCCCAAACGAATTATAAAACTGATTGGCTAGAAGTAATTATAAAAATGGATTCAGAAAAAGATATTTTTATGGCGTACGTCCGTATATATGTAAATATATGTATATATGCATAGCCGTATATATAGCTAGCATAACTAAAACACGTACGGCCTCAGAACGTTGAAATTTTGTATATAGACTGTTATGACATGTAATTGTGCACCTCCCTTTTTGATTGCAATCATCCGCACCAAAAGTATGCATATATGTGTTATTAATGATGTATATATATATATATATATATATACCCACTCTGTTACTCGGCTCAATAAGCTCAGTTTTACTTTAATATGTTGGTAAATTGTAAATTTTCTGCTTTAAAAATGATTGAATTATGTTGTTTTTATCTCCCGTAAGGTTTTTATTTAGCTAATCTGCATGCATGCATGCAACAGTTGTAGAATTATTAACAGTTTAAAAGTTGTTTATATGCGGCTAAGTCTATTATTTTCACCATAACAGCCATATTTGTTTACATTTGAAACTTAGCAGAATAGTGAATTAAGTCTTTCTGCACCTTCAGTGTGTTTCTGCCGGAGTGGGGCCAAAAAGTAACTTTTAGTTTTGTGCACCGAAAAATATGCCTTCCTACCCGCTGGTGGAATTGTTTGTTTTTGTGTAGAACCCGTAATTTTAATTGCAAAAAATTGTGTTTTTAATTGCTTTAACTGTATTTGGTATTTTATGTTTTTCTATATCTTTCAATTTTTAATGAAGATATTTCGAGTTTTTAAATATTTTTGGTCTTGCCGCGACGTGAGAACTGAATTCAATGAATGAGAAATATATCTCTAGTGAAAGTCGAGGAAATAAGTTTAAACGAAATGAAGGGAAAATTGCGTATAATTTAATATTCCATAGAAGGAAATGTTATGGTGTACACATCAGATTCTTTTTTATTATCAAATGCAATTGGTAGCGAAGGTTTTAACAACATGCAAACGGCTGACATAGAAGGATTGATGCGAGAAAGCCCTTTGGATTAGGACGCTTTGATGGAATTTATGAAACTTTATGATAAAAAAGAAGTCGATAATGGAGAAGTCGAAGGTGAAGTTCAGCTATTAACGGCTGATTTAATTCGCAAGACTTGAAATTTGCTACAAATATACAACATTTTCTTACTCATGATCCAGACATGGGGCTTGCAATAAAATTCTAACGTAATGTTAAGTTTTGTGCAGCTGGATATCAAAAATTATATAAGCAACTTGAGAAAGCCCCAAAACGTCTCTGATAACAGACTTTGTTAAAAAAAGAAAGAAGAAAGAGGCTGTTAATAACGAACGAAATTCTTCATTTGAATTAAACCCGACAGTTGTGCTAGACATGTCTACTGATGATAGCATTTTTAATCCAGTTCTTAATAAACGTGCACGCTTGTTGTCAAGTAGCGATGAATAGTTGCGAAATTAAATTTTATTCTTAATTTCAATTTAAATTTTTAAATGTACTTATGGACTGAATTTTCACTGTACATCAATTTTATTTATTTTGTAATAAAAATGAATTGTTTTTGTTTCATAAACATGTAATATGGATTTCATAAACACTTTTTTGTATGGTTTTTTGAGAAACTATTTAGAGGTTTTTAATCTTACACGATTTTTTAAAGTTCTGGAACATATCCCCAAATTTACCATAAGTCGCATGTATTTTTTTGGACGATTGTTTAGCACGGTTTTCTAAGGCACGTATCTACAATGTAAAAAATCTCGTGTGTACAACACATGACTTTCTTGTACAGAATATTAAATTGTATATATTTTCTTCTGCATTTCATTTAAACTCATTTCCTCAAATTTCATTAGGGATATATTTCTCATTAAACTAATTCAGTTCTCACATCGCGACAACGCAAAAATGCATAAAACCTCAAATTATCTTTATTCAGAATTGAAAAATATAAAACATATATACAGTTAAAACAAGTTAAAGAACAACTTTTACAATTAAAATTAAGGTTTCTACGCAAAAACAAGTAATTCGGCCAGCGGGCAAAAAGGTAGATTTTTTGGACCACAAACCTGAAAGTTTACTTTTGGTTCCACTTGGCAAAAAAACACTGAAGGCATAGAAATTGACTTAATTTGTTGTGGTCGCTATGCTGAGTCAATATATGGGATAATTTAGTAAATTAAATTATGATTCTAGAGTAGACTAAACATGATTTAATTCGGAATAATAAAGAAGACGTTATCTTTGTTGTTGCGAAATTTAGTTTCTCTAGATCGGCAACAAATCCACTATTGTGCTAAGTTTAAAATGTAAGTAAATGTGGCTGCTACGGGGGAAAAATTAGGCTTAGCCGCACTAAATTGTTGATAGCGCTACAACTTTTACATGCAGATTAACTAAAGGTATAAAAACTTTAACTGGAAGATAAAAATAACATAATTCAATCAATTTTAAAGCAAAAGATGCACAATTTACCAACATATAAGAATAAAAAAATGACCTCACGTAGCCGAGTAACAGAGTGGGTATATGTATATATATATATGTATTTTGTTCTGCCGATTGCAACCAAAAAGGGAGGTGCACAACTACATGTTATACTAGTCCTATATACAAAATTTCAACGTTCTGAGGCTACTCGTTTTTGAGTTATGAGAGATATATACATAACTACGTACGTAAGTTCGTACAGACGCCACGAAAAAATCTCTTCTGAATCCATTTTAAATCCCTTTCGCAACCCGTTTTGAGGAAAAGAGTAATTTAATCTGTCTAAATGTACAGATGTCATGCAAAAACATCATTAAATTGCATTCGATAGCTGTCAAAATGGATATTTTCGTTGAATTATGAGATCCGAAAATTTTCGTGATTACAATTCTACCCTTACTTCGTATAAGGAAGTAAAAAGAGTGGGTTGTATATATATATATATATATATATATATACGGGTTTGTAAGTGAGAGGATTGTAATAATAATCTGCTAAATTTCATCATTACGGTGAGAAAGAGTACTTATCTTTACGATATATCTCTGGTTCTTGACCAGCAATTATTTCTTCTGCAATTCCAGTGTACCCCGTTTCGTTACAAAGCAGAAGAACGTGATTGAAGATTAACTTTATTTAAAAGTAAGGAAATCACGATTTTCAAACACGGTTGTTTCAGCTGACGAAATGAAACTGTGCAGCTTTACATCAGTACAAGTGTGTCTGCATCTAAGACATTTTTCAATGTCGTTTTATGAATGATTTGACATTTTTCCAGGGGAAACAGCCGAAAAAGCTGGTCTTATGCCAGGTGACAGAATCGTGTGCATCGATAAAGTTAAAGTCTCGAAGAAAACGAAAGAGGAAATAGAGAATATTGTCAAGTGAGTATTGGTATATTAATTAAAATGCGAGGTTTTATGCTTATTAACCCATTTATTCATTTTATTTTATCTCTAGTGTCATCTCTACTTCCTTCGGCTTCCACCAGGATGAAAATCGTTGATGCAATATAATTTTTGAAATTAGGTGAGAGTTTTTGGCAGTAACCGCTGACGAGCTTCGAGCAGCCTTCGCTCAGCTACTAGACTTGAATGAATCGGCATTAGAGTTTTCCTAGCCGTGTTTGTTTGCTTGGCTTGAGCTTAAACTTTAGAAGTATTTTGCCTTGTGAATTCCTTACTTAAATTATTAGTCCAAACGACCAATTTGCCTAGAAGGGCTATTAATTTCGTTTTGGCATTTTGCGTCTGTTCAGTATAAACAGCGTTTCACTTTTTAAATTGTTGCCTTCCACATATTAGAGATCTGTATTTATATGTAAGGAAATTAAACAATGAAGAATCTGCATGAATATATGCATGTTTCTTGCATTGTGAAAAAACAACGGTACCTAGACCTAGAGGCATCCAATTCTCAATAACGTAGTCCTCCACTCGAATATGCACATCTCTAAACCCCAATATGGAATTCGGAATTTGTTTTATTAATCTACTAGCCGCTATGCGGCCAGTCTTCGTCTGGCTTTTAAATGTACAGGAAAACAAACGTCCTCTGGATAAGCGTCGTATCCACTTACCTCTCGACAAACGTTCAGTATCCAAGAGAAACATTAAATTCAAAAATTGCACAGAATTACCTCCCTCATTTTCCAAGTGGCAACAGGGCTGATATCACTAACAAGGGCAACACTGATATATCGGTAACAATGGCTGCGCACCATTTTTGACGATGTAATGAGAGAGAATTATCGATTTGATGAGATTTCATCAAAAAAACATGAAATTAAAAAACTGATTCGAATTTTCAATAAAATCGCTGTGAGGTATTCCGGCTTTTGTCTAGATGCACTCTATGTATCAAATTTCCTAGCCCTGGGTCTATTCGCTTACGAACGAAAGACACACACACACAGACAGAATCTTCCTTTTATTATACATAGATATTTCATATTTTGTAAAACTTTAACGAATTTTTAATTAACAAACTCGAAGATTTCAAAGTGAGCAATTACAAAACGAAAAAATAAACATTTTTATTTCCTGCACGAGAGACTGTGTATCGGAAATTCTAAAGATATGGTCAATTTAAAATTATTTTGCGATATTGCTGTTGAATTGAATTTTATGGTTTAAGTGCGAAGAACATGATATTTAATAAATAAAGGTAACGCACAAAACGTTAAAAAGTGCCCTTTTGGGAATGATATAAAATCTGAAAGCTCTCAGATTTTTTCTAAAGTTTTATCTTGACTTTTATGCTCTGCTAATAACACAACTTGTGGTTGTGTAATTACACGATATATGTAAGCTGCGGAGCTGAAAAGTTGTAACAAAAGAGTTTGTTTTAACATTCTTTTGAGTTTGGTGTTACTTCACTGGAACACTAAGACGGGCAAATTAATCGTCTGATTCTCTAGACTGAGCCAGATTTCAGCCGTAAAGTAATTATGTTTCGTAGAAAATGAGTTTCATTTTCAGAGTAAAATAAAGTTTAAATTATGCATGATTTTGGGGACTTAAGGCGGTGGGTTTACATACTGAAGTGCATCAGAAAATTTCATGTGTTTCACGAAATGTCATGATTACATGGAGCACAAAAATTAGAAGTGTTCCATGTAGAAATTTTTTAGACGATTTTCATTGTAATGCCAGAAATGTTTTACAAAACATTTTTATGTTTTAAATATTATATCTGATAACCCTCATTCTTCGCTATATTTGTACACCGTAATTTCCAAGACAAAAAAGCCTTGTGCAGTATCGGAAGAGATATTTTATCCTTTTGCTCTCGAACAGTCTTCCGAAGTTCAAGGAGGTTGTCGGTCGACGTTTGGACATCGGTGATAGATTAGAAGATTCATTAGGAATATGAGTGAAGGGTATGACCTAAATAACAGTTCCTTGTTCCATTTTTCTAGGAAATTAATAGTAGATTTTGACGTATCGCAGCTTACTTTGTCTCGATGCAGTTCTACTGATTGATCACACTGTGTGTAAAGAGAAAAAGATAAGGGATTTAATATTTGAAAATTGGGTATAAAATATGCTTTCTGGTAATACGTTGATCTTAATATTTTCTCCATTCTCTTTATTTTTTATCCATTTGCTAAGCACAACCATTTTGCTGTTTCTTGTACCATATGTCTGCATTCGTAACTGTATTATTGCTAGTATTCGTATATCTATATATATAATGGTATTCTTTATTATGCATTTTTATATTATGTATCCCTATTATACTCATTGTTGTGGGTTTAGGTTACAAATATTTGTACTTGCCTATATGTTTATGCACCTTTCTCACCAGCTCGACTGTCTCTGTCCCTTATTTACGTAACATCTTAACTCGTACTTTGGCCATTTGTTAGTCATACTTTATTTAGGCTTAGATAAAGGTGGTAAAGGTTGATAAAGATAACGGTGGCCATTTTTTAGTCATACTTTATTTAAGCTTAGATAAAGGCTTTAAGGTAAGGATAAAGCTTAGATTGGCTAGAACTAAATATTTTCTTACCTATTAAAATTAATTAATTAAAAATAATTATATCCTGAATTGCTTGGCTAATCACATATCAACTTTCGGAGCTACCAATTTATTCTACAAGGGGTAGGGCCTCTGGCCCAGCCACCCTGGTGTACCAGGCACCCTGGTGTTGCAAGCACCGTTCTACAAGGGTCTTTATTTTTAACTTGGTGTTATGTGAAAAACAGCAAAAAGATTTATGATTAGATACAAAAAGATTAAGATTTATGCTTTAGATGCTTTGAATCATGTTTGAAGTCTTTTTTTTCCTCTTTGATGATAGTAAATGGAGCTCCCTTTATTGCAATCACTTATATTACTTTTATTGCAAGTACATCCACGATTTGTCTGATCTGACAACATTTTCCCATTTTTGTCTGGATAAATATTTCTCATAAAGAATTCTGCAGCGCATTCTGCGTTCCGCGATATGTCATGGAGAAAGAAGATGCACAATATGATACACAATACGCTTTTTTAAGATTCAAATCAGCATTAATTACTTTTTTACAGTTGACACTTAGCATTTTAATGATTTTGCAACTATCTTTTGATTTGGCGGATTTTCTATCAAGACCAAAGTCCTTACTTTTGGAACATTCGGCACATTCCGTTTTTTCCTTGGATGCGTATTTGGAACAATTTTTCCCCTTGAAGCTAAATTTTGACGATTTTTGGCTTTAACAACGTTTTTTAATAACTAGGTGCGAATAATTTTCTTTGGAAAGAACACAAACATGGCCGTCTATCCATCGCTTCATAATAAAACCGTCAAGTAGCAGACGATAATTATCAAAATATCTTACCAACATTCATGTGATTCGAGAAAGTGAACATATTTAATCCAAAGAAAAGCAAACCTTTTTTTTTTTTGACAGAAAAAGGAATTCCTACCTTTAATTCTTTTCACAGCATCAAAGGTAAAATAAGAGTTACACACATTGCCAATCACAAACTCAGTAAAACAGCGTTAGGAAGAGAAAATCATCAAAACATGTAGTTGGTCAAAACTTTAGATGTGACAGCAGTAATAGAAACAGCTAAATATATATATATATACATTGGTGCGTGTGTACGGATTCGTAGCAGATTGAATGCCCAAGTCTGATAATAGGTTAATAAAATTTATTAAAAGAAATAAATCATTTTATCAAAAGCATCAGTTCTTATCAAAAGAAATAAATCAGAACTCTGGAATTTTCCTCAGAGGTATTCGCACAAGTATTCAGAATATCACGCAATATAATCAGTAGTTCTACTTCAAACTACTAAACTACGTTAAATATAAGGCAACGCAAAGCTTCGATTTCTCAATTCACGGGGAAATAACTTGCAATTACAGAAACTAAGCAACTGAGAGCAGATCCTCTCTCTGCGGCCTTAAATAGTTTTCAACTCGTCGCGCGAGATATTTCTAGAACTTTCTGCTTCTCGACATTTCTGGAAAGCAAGAAGAGCGTGAAATTATGGTTACAATTAACATAGTGGTCATTTACATTTATTCAGTTTCAATACAATTACCGAGATGCCATTTATTTAATGTTAAATGCACGTACTCCTGTGTTTTTACTTTTCTAACATAGAGTTTTTTAAAATTTGTCTCGCGCTGCATTGCGCGGGGAAATACAGCATTTTTAATTATAATTCTACTAAAATTATCTATCTAAATAAAAAATGGTACTATTCCGTTTTGAGGACCGTAAAAAATCGCCAAACTATCGTTGATGCCAGTGCTGCCAAAAATAATTGCGGCAACCCTAACGCAAGAAAGAAGTATAATAGTAAATAACTATTAGATTATTGTTTTAATTTAGATAAAAGGTTAATTTCATATAATACTTTTTTATTATATAATTTATATGAAAAAGGCTAAACCTGACTGAATGGAAGCATAAGAGTAAATAACTATTTCAAATCATTTTTATAATTTATATAAAAAAAAGCTAAACATAACTGAACGGATTCCTGCATCGCTATTTCGCTACCGAGTTATCGCTAAAGCATAATTTCATCTTGTTGGTTGTTCAAACATAATTTTCTATAATGAATGATGCCTTTTCTTTGAAAAAATTCTTGGTAAAGTGCAGAATCGCCCACTTATTTGTTTGGCAATTTTTACAAGGTTAAAAACAATTGAATTTTTATCAATTTTCTTTTACTTTTTAAGTGAAAATAGGCCGATGTGTACATAGATAAAGTCAAGGGTGTGCGCAGTGCCATTTTTGTGATTTTTTTTTAAAGTGAAAATAGGTCGATGTGTACATGGATTGCAGACTTTTCATCATGGGCAGTTCCAAAATTGTTAAATCTATAGGATATCAAAAAAGGATTTGAAATCAAAAAGGATTTAAAAATTAAACTAGTATTTCAATGCCGTCTTAAGAAATATAGAAACTATCTAAAGTTACGCAATTTGAAATCAGTGCGTACGCTAGATTTGGCGCGCTGTTAAATGGGCGCGTTTGCTAGATTTGGCGCTTTTGCGCATACATTTTCGCTGCAATTTTTTACGGTCCTCAAAATGGAATAGTACCTAAAAAATTAATAACAATATATTTGTGATCTGCTAGCTGCTATTAAATTTTCGAATTAAGCAGTTTGCAATTAGACTTTTTATCAAAAATGATTTTGAAGTTGAAACCTTTCAGTAAATTTAATAGATATGGAAACAATTACGACAAAAAACACCATTTTAACATTAATCGCATATTAAATAGCAATTGGTCTAGGAAATTTATTAATTGACTAGTAGCTTCGCTGCCAGCCTTCGTCTGGCTTTTAAATGTACCGGAAAATTGGCTGAAGGGAACACGTTAATTTAAAAGCTTTAAATTTAAAAACTGCGTAGAATTTTACTATGCAGAACAACTTCATAAGAAAAAGTTAGTTATTACATATAACAAAATTACAATAAATAAGCAATATCCCTTAATACAAATATCAATTATCCTATAATTAAATTAACCAACTTCCTTTTGCAAAATCTCAATAAGAAACTCAATAAGAAATACGATGAAAAATTGTTGCCAAACCCATATTTCTAAAAGAATAAAACTATTCAAAATGATGAGATTTCATCCAAAATCTATCAACAACAATAAGAAAGGAAAATTGTTGCCGAAATCACATTTTTAAAGATGCGAGATGTGAGAAGTGTACTCGGAAGCTTCATTTAAATTTTTTAAAAAAAATACAAAATATTATCATTTTTTGAAAATTCTTTTTGTAAAAGCAGTCGCAAGGATGAAAGTTTAACGTGTCCAAAAATCAAAGAAAAATAAACTGTACATTTTTAAAAATAAACTTTTTAGAAAAAATCCCGTTGAAAAGGTGTTAAGCTCCCTTTGTTAAATAAATTCGTATTGAATCGATTTATTGAAACACGAAATTTATTTTAAGTTCGTAAAATAGCTAAGTGCCTACGTTTCACGACGATGTGAAAATGGAGTGTGTAGAGTAAAATCTCGCTTTCCTATAGCCCATTATGTCTCAAAAGGACGTGATTTCGTCACAAAACATAAAATAAAAAAATTCTAATCCGAAAAATTTCGAAAAAATCGCTTCGAGGTGCACTGGCTCTTGTCTAGATGCACCTATGTACCAAATTTCGTAGCCGTGGGTCTATTAGCTTACGCGAAGCGCAAACGAAAGACACACAGACAGACAGACTCTTTCTTTTATTATATGTAGAGATGCCATTCAAGGAAAAATTTTTCAAATTTTTTTCGCGAAAACAATTCAATTGTTGTAAATAAATCGACACTTTAAACCAGTCGAAAAAGAAAAGACAATTTTTTTCTATCGCAATTTTATGAAATGCAGAGACAACTTAAATTAAGTACCTTATTTTCGCAATCTCTGAAACAGCGAGTTTGACGAAGCATTTAAACCAAATATGATTGTTTTTTATCTGGAAGAAAGTAATTGCTAAAGGAAAAGGAATAAAACATAAAATATTTTAACACAGTTAAGATGAATGTATAAAGGATTACAAAAGAACAGAGAAGATGTTCACGGCTTTAACCTTACTTATTATCTTTTAAATTTCAATTATATTTCAGAATACTTTTCTGAGTTACGTGGAAAACATATTTTCGAAGTTATTATGATTACATCAGAGCTGCGTTACTTTAAAGAAACTCACCGATATGTTCTCAAATTGCTTTCTGAATTAGATCAAGTATTCAAAGTAGAATTTCGAAAAAGTTAGCAAAACAGTTTCTAGGAATAGAAAGGAAATTAATTAGATGTTATCTTTTAAAGAAAGAAAAACATTTAATAAATGGATGCGTAGTCATTATTTTCATAGGAAATATTTATTTAAGAGTTAATTGCTTTCTGCTATTCTACTGTTTCATTGCAGAAAACTTCCATTAACTTTCAATGATGTTTACTAGCAAAGCAAAGAAAGATAAATTTAAAATACGAAATCCAGGGCCTGTGTCCAGTTGCGACGCCTTTAACCTTCTTCGGACTAGTATTAAAAAATATGAGAAATTTTTTGATGTTAAAGAGAACTTGATACTGATACTTGATTAGTGATAAAGAAACACTGATATTTATACACAAAAAGGAACCTATTTCGATATTACAGTTTAAACTGCTGATATTTAAACTAAAGGGTTAAATTTTGTGGTGTTTCACTATTCAAACTGTTGCCAACAAATATTATCGCCCTGTATTATATTTTAAGAAAGTAAATAAAGAAGAATCTGCATAAATGTATGTATGTTTCTCACATTGTGATAAAAATAACGGTACCTAGAACCATCAAATTTTTGAATAATCTTAGTTTCCATCCGAATATGGGCATCTAGAAATCCGAATTTGGAATTGGTTTTATTATCGATAGGAAAGGTTGTGATCTCCCTACCCCCACTTCCACTGATTTAAGCCCATCTTAAATGCATTCCTACTACAAAAATAAAAACAACATGGCGTGCCAAATTTCTCCTGCCCAGCATTGGTATAACGCTGAGCAACAAGACCTGTCACTGCAGAGTAACAGAACTAGATCTCTCCAAACGGCCATGGACAGATTCAGAAGCGGGCATCTTCGATGCATGAAATTCAACGGAGGGGGGATCATATTCTCCTGTGCTTGTTCCCTTCTTGCCTCTCCCGCTCACGTACTAGATTATTTAGGCGTCTCCTTGAGACACATGTCAGCTGAGCAAGATGATGTCAACGATTCACTGTCGTTACACATCTCATGAATACACAGCTCGAATCAGTTTCGTTTCAACGCCCCTCATAGAAGGTTTGGTGACGACAGCTATAGTAAAGACAGAGTGTGTCGCGAACAAACAAGCACACAAAGAAATATTTTTCTTTATATACAGGGTGTCCCGTAAACGTTGCAACAAACTTCTGGACGAGGTAGTACACTTCAAAAGAATAAAGAATTGCATAGGAACCCAGGCTCGGAAATGTCAGGGGTAAGTGGTAGCAGAGGTAGATGGGAAAGGAAACAAGAGACTGATTAATTTGAAACATTTATTGAGCATGAATAAAAATGGTGTACTACAACTTGAAAATTACAGCAGATCCTCGAAGTGTGCACCATCGGACGCCAAACATGCCTGACACCGACGGACCATTGTTTGCCGGACATGCTCGAACACACCTGGAGTTTCTTTGATTGTAGCAGTTGCGTAGGCAAGACTTGCCACGAGATCCATATCAGACAAAACAGGATCGTTATACACGACACTTTTGATAGCTCCCCAGCACAAACACTCCCGTAGTCGCACAAATTTTGATTCAGACGTGCAAACAAACTGTGGTATGGTTGATGTCTGTCGAAGAAGCGATCTCGATAAATGCGTTTTGCCGGTTCGTCCAATACCCTTAGCTATTCCATACACTAAGTGCTTGTCTGCAAGCTCCCGGTTCGTATAGCGTTCCATGCTCCTCGTATGGTATCTACCGCTCGAATGAGGCAATCCTCACTTTCCAATAGTTCTGTACGTTTCTGGGGATGGTTTCGTTTCTGTACGTTTCTGGATCCTGTGACGTTTCTGGGGATGGGTTTCTATGCAATTCTTAATCCTTATGATGTGCCCAACCTCCCCCAGAAGCCTGTCGCAACATTTACGGGACACCCTGTATATAGATAAATGGATCGAAACCCCTACCACCTTTATTATTATATAGTCGTTCATTTGGTAAAAGTTTACAATTGGGTGCCCCTTGTTTTTTGGCGATTCTTTCGACGCCAAGATCGGGCGCCAGGAAGGCACAATTTCAAGATGGCCGCTACACAAAACCAAAATAAGAAGTCAAAGAATTGCACAAACTCTGTGTCCATGTACACATCGATCTGTTTTCACTTGAAAAAACATCCTAGTATTAAACATCCTAGTATCCTAGTATCAAAATACAGAGACTTAAATAGCCAGGTCATCTGACCAGAATGCATGGCGTTCGGAGAAAATCTCTGACAAACCTATGAGAACAAGATTCCCAAGGAGATCAATTAATTGTGTTGAAACTGGTCTAAACATTCTAAAGGTCAACAACTGGAAAGCAGATGCCAAAAGCAGAAATACCTGGGCAAGGCCAGAGCCCAATAAAAAAGAGTGGTTAATTTTATTTAATCCATTTAAATGACACCTTTCCACAAAATACGCAGAATATTGTTGTTCTTTGAAGAAGGAAAGTTCGTATCATTCACCAACAAAATGCAGTTTTCACACAAACGGCAACAATCTAAAAGTAAATTTTTGTATGACCTTTGTAGTTCGGTTTGGAATATTTCTCTTTTGTATAATATAATTCTATTTTCATTCTGAAATTTTTTGCTGCCCATTTTGTCCTATTCACTCAAAATGTATACTAAAGGCTGGGAATTATGCATGCTAAAAAACGAGAATTCTATCACTTTCGAACACACATTCTGTGGCATCCCATGCCCTACTTTTCAGGAAATCTAATTTGAGTTCGAATTAATAAATGACAAAAGCAGTATATACATTTTTTTATTATAAGACTATTTCTTTAGTACTTTCGTAACGTTATTGTGTTATTTTTCTCATGGCATAACAATGTTTTCCGCTTTTTAGAAACGCGAAAGAGATAATGGAGTTAGAGATCATTCGTCCTGAAGGAGAACTGGCAACTAGGAAACGGCAGACGAGTCTAAGACTCAAGGAATCCTTCACGAAAAGAGGATCAAAAATGGTTATTCAGGTATGAATAAATTCAGCAGTATATCAGAACGGTGAGTCGGGTATGAAAAACGTAGTCACATTTTATATGACAGTTGAAAAAAAAATTAAATAGAATTTTCGATATATGTTAGACGTGAAACTGTCTTTACCAAGAAGCGGTAAATAATATACAGTATGGAATGATAATATGTAGAGGGTTTATATAAGTTTTGAAGGCATGTATATGTAGTATTTATTAAGCCAATAGAATGGGGTCGTTTATAATATTAGAGATGCAAAATTAACAAATAGCAATGAAAATAATGGAATTGTTCGGGGAACTGAAAAACAAATGAAATATTAAAAATCTGATACGTACACTGCATGACTTCCTTGTACGGAATATTAAATTACATGCATTATTTGCCGCATTTCGTTTAAACTTATTTCCTCAAATTTCGTTAGAGATACATTTCTCATTCAATTAATTCAGTTCTCCTTTCGCGGCAAGGGAAAAATACATAAAACCTTAAAACGTCTTTACTAAAAATTGAAAAATATAGAACAATATAAAACCTCAAATACATTTAAAACAATTTAAAAAATTAAAGTTAAAATTAGAGTTTCTACGCAAAAACACGCAATTCCGCCAGCGGGCAAGAAAGCAGATTTTTCGGTGCACAAAACTGAAAGTTTACTTTTGGTCCCACTCGACAAAAAGACACTGAAGGTGCAGAAAAACTGAATTAAGTTACTATTCTGTTAAGTTTCAAATGTAAACAAATATGGCTGCTATAGTAAACAAAAATTAGGCTTAGGCGCTCTTGAACAACTTTTAAATTGTTGATAATTCTACAACTATTGCATGCAGATTAACTAAAAGCATAAAAACCTTAACCGGAAGATAAAAACAACATAATTCAATCATTTTTAAAGCAAAAAATGTACAATTTACCAACACATAAGTATAAAAAAAACCGGAGCTTAGCCAAAAAAATACCTTATATAGTCCGCCTTTTAAAAGGCGACTCGGAATTAGGAAACCCAAGCCCCAGATCACGGTGGTGAAGAATCATCATTTATCACCTTTCAGTTCGAGCGTCACTGTAGAGACATTAGGTATTTTTGAAGCAGGAATGCGTGAAAAATGAGCAGTGCTCTTGCCGGGACACGAACCTGGACCTCTCGAATACCCCGCGTTTGTGCTGCCGTTACACAACGAATGCATGTAGAATGAAGCGAGAAAATACCTTATAACTTTTAGTGAAACGGATTAAAAAAAACTGTTTATAACCTTTGAAGAATTTATTCGATCAGATTGGACTACATTTAGATTAATACGGATTTTATACAGTGCAATAAAATCTGCGGATGCTAAATTATATTTATAGCAAAGGAAATTTTCTTATTTAAGGCAAAAGAAATTACTTTTTTTAGGATTCTCATATTATATCATGGAGAAAGGAAAGAGCTCTTTTAAAGCTTTTACTTTGCGAAGAAGACCTCCTGAATATTATTACCCTTGGCAAGAGGACGTTCATATTACCTCTACGCAAGCAGCATACCCTAACCACCGTGGCAGAGATAAATATTCTGTTTGGAAATATTGAAGAAGTAAGTTTATATATTACAGAAATATTTTTGTTTATCTGACCTGTGATGAAATGTAACACATATATTCTATGCATTAGAACAAAGTTTCATTTCTGGAACTGTGAGATATTTACGCGTTTTTCAATGTACTTGCTCCAGATATGTTTGTCTGATATGAATTATTTTTGGGACAGGTAATTTTTATTTCGTTAGTAATTGAATTTAATTCTCTCTACGTGTATTTGGACAGTTTCTTAGATTTAGTATCCCATTACCAAAATGTTCATCATCTATCTTTTTACCCCAAAGGGCGTTAGCACAAAAGGGGTATTAATTCCATTTTGGCATTTTGCGTTGAAAACTTTAAATGTCCGTTTTATTTTTCAGATTGTTGCCACCAAATGCTATCGTTTTGTGTTATATTTAAAGAAATTAAATAATGAAGAACCTGCATGAGTGTTTCTCGCATTGCGAAGAAACAACGGTACTTAGAGCCATCCGATTTTGAATAACTGAATATGAGCATCTGGAAGCCCTAATTTGGAATATTTTTTTTATCGATTTCATATTTTGTAACACTTAAACGAATTTTTGATTAACAAACGCAACGTTTTCAAAGCAAGCAATAGCAGTTCAGTCCGGGGAAAAAAAAAAAAAAAAAAAAAAAAAATCTTTAGCGTGCGAGACTGTGTGTCGGAAATTCTGAAAATACGCTGATTTTAAAATGATTTTACGATATTGCTGTTGAATTGTATTTTATGGTTTAAGTGCGAAGAACATGGTATTTAATAAATAAAGGTAACATACGGAACGTCTCTTTGGGCGTAATTTAAAATCTAAAAGCTAACAGATTTTTTTTTTGTCTGTTTTCCTTTCTCATTTTATATTTAAAACAGCATTCCAAGCAACATATAAAACGGATTAATTCTAAGTATTTCAAAAGGTAATGCTACAACAAAATATATACATTTCATAAGAATTGTTGATTATCTCACGATATTTTGATTGTTACGAAATAGTTCTTTGAGTTTGATATAATTTTCAGTACACATAAAGACTTATAGAGCTGTAAATACAAAAATGATAAAACCTCAAAGCAAATTTTGAGAGTATTAGATAACTTATTAATACTGGATTTTAACTGCAAAGAATAAGAAATAGCTTTTCAATAAAATAACATTTTCTGTAAATTTAACCCTTTGTTGCGTACAAATAATCTAGAGAAGTTAAACGAAAATGTTTGTCTTTTTTCTACTTAAAATAACCTTAGTAATAATAATAAAAAAATTATTCAAATTTCGTTTTAAATAATTGCTACAGTTTGTTCACTACAAGAAATTCCTTGCCAAACGTAAACATTTCCGGTGGTGTTTTGGCTGGATAAGCAGTCCATTTGGGTTTCAATTCACTCTTTTCGGTAGATCTTTATCTACACACTCCACAATTTTCTCAAACTGATATTTAAAATAAAATGTCTAAAATGACTAATTATGAATAAAAAATGGCAGTATAAGAAAATGTAAGCAATATTATATAATGTTTACTAGGAGAAATGGTACTAACTCGGAAACAGAAGTAGCAGCCATTTTCCAAATAGCAATGCTTTACTTAGTGATGCTATACAGCCATCTATGATGGACAGTTGAAAGTTCTAATAATGAATGAATAAACACAGCAATGGAATCTGTTAAGGAATTTTCAGAAGAATAAACAAATTTAAGTTTTTTGTCTACTAGAGTGGACATGATGCAACAAAGGTGTCCGCCGACAACATCGCGGCAAAAACATCGCGGAGGAAAACGTCGCGGAGAAAACAACGCAAGGCGAAAACGTCGTGCTACAAAACATCGTGGGAGAACACATCGCAAAGAGAAAAACATCGCAGTTCTAAAACATCGTGGTACAAAATATCGTCGTCGAAAATAAAGCGGTTCAAAAACTTCGCAATTTAAAAACATAGTCGTCGAAAATATCGTGATAAAAAATAAAGTATCTACAAATCATCGCATGACGATAACATCGCAGACATGCTTTTTTCAGACATGCTTTAATAACTGTAAATGGATATTCCCATAATGATTCGTGAGCGCAAGAGGGTAAAGAAGGATAATTTTTACTTTCATATTTTTTATTAATATTAAATTTTTGCTGAGAAAATAAAAGGAAAACTTAAGCATAGAAAATTAATGCAACTTATAGCACTTAATAGAATTTTAAATCGACATAGTTAACTAACAAAGACCATAATAAATTATTTTTAATAAAGATTTTACAGGTAATTTTTCATAAAAAGTATAATCTATTAAGTTGCATTTAATTTTCTATGCTTAAGTTTCCTTCTTATTTTTTCAGCAAAAATTTATTAGTTAATAAAAAAATGTGAAAGTAAAAATTATCCTTCCTTACATCACTTGCGCTCACAAATCATTATGGGAATATCCATTTACAGTTATTAAAGCCTGAAAAAAGCATGTCTGCGATGTTATCGTCATGCGATGATTAATAGATACTTTATTTTTACCACGATATTTTCGACGACGATGTTTTTAAACTGCGAAGTTTTTGAACCGCTTTATTTTCGACGACGATGTTTTGTACCACGATGTTTTAGAACTGCGATGTTTTCTCTTTGCGATGTTTTCTCCCACGATGTTTTGTAGCACGACGTTTTTGCCTTGCGTTGTTTTCTCCGCGACGTTTTCGTCCGCGATGTTTTTGCGCGATGTTTTCGGCTGTAACCTGCAACAAAGGGTTAACAAACTTACCGTTTGGTTTATTCTGAATGTAGAGGAACCTATTGAACTGTAGAGCGACTTATCGCTGAGTTCACATATATATCAACAAAGTCTATAGAAGGGTTAAATTATCTTCATTCATTCAAAGAAATATTTACAGATGGTCCCTTCTAGGGCGTACAGGGAAGCCTCCCCTCGGGCTTCAAATCAAGATAAGAAAAATAAGAAACTAATCTAACACTAAACTAATTTGGCTTAGCCGAATCTAGACACAAATACCCAACGTAGTTGGCCCTTAATTTAACTTGGACGGTGATTACCAACAGGCCCGTGCAATACGACCGAGCGTAGTAGGTTTACTATTGAAGTTGCTTGACGGCAAACACGCTCCACTAAGGACTCTAAGCTCTTCTACTGAGGTAAGCTGAACGTTTCTTAAATACTACTTCTATCTTATTTACATTCAACGTGATTCTAAAAACACATTCTGGTAGGGAGTTGTAAGTGTAAAACAAGAATTGAATTTAAAGGGTTTCAAAATAAAAAATAACCGCTATAAAATTAAAATGCACCTTATAAGCTTTTAAATAAATGGTATAATATTTAAATTAATTCCACATAAAAAAAATATTTTGCGTGTTTTGCCTTGCTCCTTATACTTCTAAAAAACTTCTTGTTTCACAAAAATACCGATTATGAAAAATGACATATCTTTATCTGCGATTTTCATTTTCCTGCAGGGGCTGAAATACGAATGGTAGTTACTGTATTAAACTAATGCTGTTGAAATATGCGACGGACATGTTGATATTCAAATAATGATAAAAGCGAATTAAGCATACTGAAAAAGTTAACTTTGTATTTGAAATGTATTCTTTTCAAAATATGAAATAATCGACAAATATTCTTGATACGTAGAGATATTAATGCCTTTTCTTTAGTTTGAATTTTATACACTATTTAAAATAAATTTGCGTTAGCTATTTTAAGAAACCACTGGTCGAAATAATATTACAAATATCATTTTAGGTAGGAATGGTACACGAGAAACACATCCAGCAACTGCGACAAATGAGTCAGGGAAATGACGACAGCATCGGAAGACTATATCAGAAGCAGGTAAGTTTCGAATTATTCATAATTTCTATAAACACATTATTTAAAAGTAAAATTTGGCATCATTAACTGTCTATAATTGTCAAAATGTATTGTTGCATGCCTACAGGTTCGTAATAGATTGAATGTACACAGGTCCGATGAGAGGTTAATAAAATTTACTTTTATCAAAAGAAACACTTCAAAGTTCTAAAATTTTCCACAGAAATCCTCGTACAGATGTTTGCAGTATCACACAATACAATCAGTAGTTACGCTTCAAACTACTAAGAACTTTAAACACAACGCATTGCAAAGCGCATTTAAAGACCAAACTAATCCGGAAATATCTCCAGTCTCACGTTAACCTAATAACTCTCAAGAATAACAACAACAAATAACTATATAACTGAGAGCAGATACCCTCTCTCTGGCCTTATATAGTTTTCAATCTACCGCCGAGATATTTCTAGTGCTTTTTGCTTCTTGAAATTACTGGAAGGCAATACGAGGGTCGAATTTCTGTTACGGCTAATATAACGATCAATTACATTTATTCATTTACGGTGATACAGGAACCAAAAGTACGGTGATACATGAAACAAAATATCGCCAAACGGTCGCCAGGTTTGGCGACCTTTAGCAAGGCCAAAATTGTTGTCAGCTTGGCGATATCTCGCCAAATTACCGAGATACCCATTTACTGAATGTTGAATGGACTTTTCCCTGTATTCTTACTTTTCCGGCTTAGCTTCTCTCTTATGAGTTTTCGCGCTACATTACGCAGCAAAATACAACAGTTTCACATATAATTGCACTAAGCACTTATCTATCTATGTAAAAAATTCGTAACAATACTCTCAATAGTAATGTGAATTCAACATACATTACCATTAATCTTTCTAGTCGTGAAGAATATGTATAAATTTTCTTGTTTTTTAATATATTTGAATTTCTTTACGAGACGAAAATTTTAACTGTGAAATACACATTTTGATTCAATTGATTACTTCATGCAATGTTGGAATTTCAAAAACTAGGTAATATAATATAATAAAAACCATTAGTTGAATCTTATTCTACTAACAGTTCTACCCTAGAAAATATATAGGAAAGTAATTTATTATTGTAAAGAAATTCAAAGCCATCAGTTTTGACAAAAAAAGGAAGATAACACCAACAAATAAAAAATTACTACTTCTTTTGAAAAGATTTTGCATAATCTGCTTTAATTCTGTACTACCAACCCAAGTGATTTTATGAAAGTGATTCTATCAAATGAATACCGGTAGCTTTACTTGAGAATTTATTTCGTTGATCATTTTACTGAGAAAATAATCCGTTTGAAAAAAAAAATCTATGCTGAAGTCATCAAAACTTTCTTTTTTTGGAAAGAAAAGTGGATTTCCATTATCCTTACTCTTCTGGACGATTAAAATGCTATAGATTTTTTAGGGTATTATACCTGAATTATTTTTCCGTTTTGCTCTGCGCTAATATTTTGAAGAATGACTCTCTTTTCATATATGTGAACTGACTATGCAGATTAAAAATACTTTACTTCTTCTGAATGCTCTAGCCATTAACTTCTTTATAAAGGAAAACTAATTTATTAAAATGACGACTACTAAGATCAACTACGATATGATGTGATAAGTTACAACACTTAGCGACTCGTACACAACACGTAATTAACAGGCAAATATTTACAACTTGTTACAACATACAGATACTGCACAGGAACTCTGCAATATGTGTATATACATACGATATGCATTAATATACCCAGGTGGTATTGCTCAGTATAATGCATTAGAGTAACTTATATGCAAGTTACTACTGACTTCTAGAGTAAACATTCTCTGTAAATTCAGAATCAAAATGCATAAAACATTGTTAAAGTCCTCGTTCAGCACAGTCGGAGTCTTGACAGGGTCTCTTTTAATAACCATAGGTCACAAATACCCATCTTCCGAAGTAACGTTATAAATTCCGCAACAAATTTTATTATTCTATAGAGACTTTTGGCTAGGCCTAGCGATAATAGAATGCTCCACCAATTGAGTACAAATGCAAAGTCTTATAACAGGTGATACAGCAACTTAGCTGGTGGTAAATAAGCACCGTATTTGCCTGCGTATAAGGTCTACTTGTTTTTTTTTGAAAATAGGTCTGATAAACGGAGTGCGTCTTATAAGCCGATACTCAGTTTTGGATTACATTCATTTCTGCAAATTTCCTCTATTCGGAGTTATGCGATTTTGAATGGGTCAAAGCTTCATGGGATGCTGCGAAAACACAGATAGTGATTAACCCTTTGCGGCACTGTGTGTCCGGTCTGGAGACACCTAAAATTTTCCTTCTGTGTGCACAGAAAAATTGAATGAAAAACGATTTATAAGTTACTATAGGTTATTCTGACCTTCTTTATTTATAGTAGATGACAGCTCAATACAAACCAATCCATATATTTTAGCCATGCTTAGTTTTTTAAGACCCTCATTTTTCAGAGAAATCTTCCAGATTTTTTTAGGGTATAAAAGGAATTGTTTGAAAAGAAATGTCTATGTTATTTTTTTGGTTGTATGCTAATCTCCTTATTCTATATTAGTTTTAAATTTTTACCTTGAAATCTTGCCTAAAATCAAACGTCGACCCTTAGGTGTGCCCAGACCGGGCTCACCGATAATCTAGGACAAATGAGAGTCGGTATTCTTTGTTTCTCCGCATCTCATCGGCCAGGTCATTGACAACAATGCTCGTTTCAGCACTTCTTTCGAAGCTCTATTCAATCAGTGTGCCACTTTGGGCACACCCACAGAATTAAAACGATAACTACTATCTTCACAAAATTTTACTTGTGTACTCCTCTAGGCTTAATTAGACTGCCTACCTTTTAGTCCAAAGGGATTTGAATCCCGAAGGACTATTAGTTTCGTTTTGGCATTTTGCGTTGGACGGATAAATGTCGGTTCACTTTTCAAACTGTTGCCATAAAATGTTAGAGTCCTGCATTATATTTGAAGAAATTAAATAATGAAAATCTGCGTAAATGTATGTATATTTCTCACATTGTCATAAAATAACGGTACATAGAGTCATCGAATTTTGAATAACGTAATCCTCCAACGAATATGAGCATGTGGAAGACCAAATTTGAAATTTGAAATTTGTTTTATGATCGATTTCCTATTTTTTAAAACTTTGACGAGTTTTTGATTAACAAACTCAAGGATTTCAAAGCGAGCAATGGCAACGTTGTGCAGAAAAAACATTTTTATCTCCAGCGCGTGAGTCTCTGTATCGGAAATTCTAAAGATATGCTCGTTTTAAAACTATTTTGCGATATTGCTGTTGCACTGGATCTTATGGTTTAAGTGCGAGGAACATGATATTTAATAAAGAAAGGTAACACACAAAATGTTAAAAAACGCCCCTTTGGACGTAATTTAAAATCTGAAACATTTCAGACTTTTTTTTTTTTTTTAAATCAAAACTCCGACTTTAAAAGGTAGCGTGCCGAAAAGGGTTAAATCATTTAAGAAGTGTGGCATTAGTAATGCACTGAATGGTACAGAGGACAATTTGTTGTATGAGGACTCAGATGCTATTTTGGAAGAGTTTTCAAGTGACTTTTCTTTTAGCTTTGGTGATGAGTGTCTGGGTTTTGACGAAGATTAAAATGTCTTCTTTCTCAGATAGATTGGGTATTTGTAGAAAGTATTACTTTGTATTTACTTTATATTTAAAATACTGTAAATTCATTTATAATGATCACTAATAAAGTTTTATCCTCCAAATATGTGTATAAATAAGGAGGTGCGTCTTATACGCCGGCAAATAGGGTAATTAACAACTCGTCAGAAAATCAGAAATACTAGAAGCTCATTTATAAAGGGATTTATCAATAAGATGAGCAGGATATCTTTAACAAGGACATTAGTTTGAGTGAGTGATACTGTACGTTATTTTCTGCCCCTCTTTCCGCATACCTTCATGATGCAATCGGAAGCATATTCGACTTCTATATGAGAGGTTTAAGGCATTAAACATTTTCCTAGCATCAAAAGCCCTAATAACTCCACAATACTAGTATAACATTGGATGCATGTAAACACTCAAGTCGACTTTAATAAAAGTTTTGATTAACTGAGTCATGCAAATAAAAATATTCATTTTAATGAAGCGCATAGTACCTCATAAAATTAAGGAAAAAAAACTTTGTATTTGGTGGAGATTTTAGACAAAAATACCAATTTTGTGGGCTAACAGGTACGGTCCCTATTCATCAGGAGCAAAGAAATCTGCAACGAAGGAAAGCCACGGTTGTATGAGAGGATCGTACTCTCTTTGGTCACATAAACTCTAAGAGATCATACTCAGGAACTTGGCGACTTCTCGCACAGGCTTGAATGATACCAGCACAGAAGAAGGGTAAAAATAACCCTTTATTATTATCAGCTATGAACAGAAAAGCACGTGCCTCGTGCTTTACATTAACACCGACAACTTGCGGTGGAACTTAAGAATCATTACACGATAAATTCAAGGCTAAAGAGTAGTGTCGGACTAGCACTTTAAGTTAAGGGCTAACTAGGTTGACTCAACCAACCTACTAGCCGTGATAATTATTTAAATGGACAAAAAGGCTTATCAGGAACTCCGCGTAACAGCAAAGACAGATTCGTAACGGCTAGAGAAACACGCTCCGAATAAACTCCGAGATTCACCCGTTTAAATACTCATTTCACTTAACTTTAAATTTGCATCCTGGCGAGGAAATGCGAGGGGACGTTGAGGAGTTCAGAAAAGGTAACACAATTTGAATAATTTGTTAACTGAACTAAGAGAAACCCCAGAGTACAACTGAACTGTAATATAGCTCTCTATCTCAAATTGTAATATAACTAAACATAAAACGCCCCCTACATTAGGAAGAAAGCCACTGTCTTTCTTCTTGACGGAACACGGGTTTGTACCCATTAGCTCTCGATATCGATAGAATCTTGACACAAAGTTGTTTT